GGGTCTGTAGCAGGGTGGTGGCAGTATCAGAGGAGACAAGGGAGCACATTGGAGAGATGTTGCAAAGGTGAAATTGACAAAAACAGATTGGATATGGGGTGTAAGAGATAGTGAGTAGTCAAGTATGATGTCTAGGTGGTGAGCCTGGGGAACTGGGAAGATGGTGGTGGCCTTGACACTAATAGAGGAGTTTGGAAAGGGGGAGGATTTTTGGGAAAGAAGAGTTCAGTTTTGGTCATGTTAAATTTAAAATGGCTACTGGACAACCACTTCTAGGTATCTGAAAGGTAGTTGGAGATGTGAGACTAGAGATCAGCCAAGAGGTTAGGGCAGGGTTGATAGCTTTGAGAATCATCAGCATAGGGATGATAAATCTACTAGAGCTGATGAGATCATCAAGGGAAGTAATACAGAAGGGGAAGAAAAGAGGACAAAGGATAGAGCGCTGTGGGATATCCCCATGCTTATTAGGCATGATTAGTAGGAGGATATAGCAAAGGAGACTAAGAAGGAGTGGAAGAAGAACCAGGAGAGTGGTCTTTATTCAGCTATACTTGGTTGTTGGGTTGGTTAGTTTTGCAGAATTGCTTTTTCAGTCTTTTTTATGGTCTGTTACAAAGAAGGCTCCCTGATTATGGAAGAAGAGGAAGGAGAGAGACATCACATATCGAGGTTCTGTAAAAAAATCAACAAAAATAAAAATAGTAATACTTAAAAAGAGGCATCAAAGTAGAGTAACAACACTAAGTGGGGACAAATTAATGACTTAAAGGAGGAAGGGAAGAAAAATTGATACAAAAGCCAAAAGTGAAGAAAAAATACAATCTTAACAATTATAGCTTTAAATGTGAATGCATCAAGCAATCTAAAAGTGCAGAGTGGATAAGAAAGCAAAAACCAGCAATATATTGCATATCAGAAACATGAGGTGTCTCAAAAGTCTTCATTGCATTTTAAAGCTTTTATACCTTTAAATAGAAACATAAAGAATAAAAAAAGATTGAAACAAAATTTAGTGTGCATCAGGTAATTCCAAAAAAGCTTTAATCATAGTATCATGCAAAACAAAACAAAATTTTGTATGACGAGATCCAGACATATAAACAAGGAAACCATATTGTACTAATTCATATATTAATTAATTTTAGTGCAAAAGTTATAAAGAAAATGTTAATTAAATTGTGGAAAAGCTCAGATTATAAGAATAATTATAGGAATTATAATCTACCTTCTAGGTGGGTAAACCTAAATAGAAAGATAAAAAAGAAAATACAAGACTTGACAAACTTTTGGAACAGAACTGAAAGACTTAAGATCTCTAAGGAGTATGAAAAGTAAAGCATATACAGATGGTATAGTGCCACACATAAAAAAAAAAACCATGTGTTTAGACACAGAGAATTTACAAATAAATGTAAAAAGTAGAAACACTAAACACATTCTTTACAGATTGTAATGCAGTGAAATAGAGAACATGAGCAAAAGATAATTTCAGAAATGGAGATTTGAGTGGCATCCTGAATTCTGAATGCATTAGAGAACAAATATATAGAAAGGACAATTATGTCAACTAGAAAAATTATGAAATAGTATTCTAAAATTTATGAGATGCAGCTAAAGCAATTCTGTGATTGAAAAAATATTTCTCAAAAATAAATCATCAAAATAGAAAAAAAGAATTAAACTGAGTATGCAATTAAAAATGAGATAATAAGCACATTCAAAGTAAGCAAAAAAGAGGGTATGTTGAAAATTGGAGAAGAAATAGGTATAGTGGAAAACAAAAAGGCTATAGAAATGATAAACAAAATGAAGTTGGCACTTTTAAAAGTCTAACAGTGGATTACACTTCAGGAAATCTGATTAAAAGAAGAGTGAATAATGTGAAATTAATAAGAAAAATGAACAAGGAGAAATCACAGCAAACAGAAAAAAAATTCATAGTAATTATTTGAACCTACTATACACAATTAAATGCCAGCAAAACTTATACATTTTTAAATGGACTACCTACAAAAAATATAAAATAACCAAATTAGCAGCATGAAAAAAAGAGCGACCGAATCTCAGAAGGTGAAATTGAACAAACTGTAAAGTAAGCAGGAAAAGGGGTCACAGGGAGAAAATAACCTAGGTTAAGCATTTATGGATGAATGGTATAAAATGTTAAAAAAAAGTAATTAATACCTACACTATAGGGATTATTTGCAAAAACTGAGAAAATAATACATTGTACCACACTTTTTTTTGAGCAAATAAAGTCCTAATACCTGAACTAGGGAAATTCAGAAGAGGGGAAGGTTTTTTTTGGGGGAAAGATGAGTTCTGTTTCGGACGTACTCGGTTTTGAGTTGGAAATTGGTGATACATTACCACTAGTCCAGTCTCTTTCTCTTCTACCCAGGGCCCATGCTTCTGCGTATTTGTGTAGGTAGCTACTTACCTTAAGGCTTTGACTATTAGTAGGACCCAATCAACAGCATTGTTACATACTATGTATTAAATAATTTTGAAAAAATTTGAACTTGTGGAAGGGGTTGTTGTTTAGTTGTTTCAGTCACATATGACTCTTTGTGACCCCATTTGAGGTTTTCTTGGCAAAGATAGTGGAGTGGTTTACTATTTCTTTCTCTAGGTCATTTTACAGATGAGAAAACTGAGGCAAATAGGGTTAAGTGACTTGCCCAGGGTCACACTGTAATTTTCTAAGGCCAGATTTAAACTCAGGAAGATGAGTCTTCCTGACTCCAGGTCTGGCACTGTATCCACTGCACCACCTAGATGCCCTTTGTAGAAGGGGTAGTATACGTTAATCAGACTCCTTTTGTCTCTATGATGGAGGGAGATGTTAAGGAAATATTTATGTATATATGAGCCCAAGAGCTTTTAAAATACTAATTTGTGGAAATGCTCCTGCCATCCTGAACTACTTCATATGTGGGGCTCTGATTGAGCAGATATAGGCACTGAGAAAGGATGTAGAGGTGTTAGATAGACATCATTGAATGAGTTATACATTGAAATTTGGAATAGGAAATGGCTGTATATGTCTTATTTCTCCAAACTAGATAGTATTTGGACATAATTCTTCTACTGGTACAGTTTTTAGGATCTATTGATTCTAACCCTGATTCTGAAATACTTAGTTTTCAAATTTCTGGAATATTCAACTCTCCCTTCATTGCTTTCATTCACCAGATGTTTCATGTTAATATAGAATTTCTTTCTTTAATATTACTTAATAGTAAAGATAAAATCTTCATAGATTTTGTTTTTAGAAATTTTATTCCTAGACACTAGATATAGTAGAAGAGACTAAGGGATAAGCAGATAGTAGATATCTCCTACATCTAGCACAGTGCTTTGTTATGGTAGACCTCAATAGGACCTCGATAATCAGCTTGTAAATCAGGAAGAAAGTAATTTAAGACTAGCAATCCTAGTTTTGTTTTCACTTGAAAGTCCTAAGTAATTAAATCCATTTTAGATGCAATTCTTAACACATTTATAACTGAAACCATTGATTTCAAAATCATTAACTAGTGCTAAACTTTGTTGTGTTAGTTGAAATGAATATAGCTTACTTTACCTTCAGTATCCAATTTCCTGCTAATCTTTTGACTGGTTAAATTAAAAAATTCTGTTTCTGGTAGGAAAAATACGGTTTAAAAGTTCACCCAAATCACCAATAATTTGGAATACTGAACTACCCTAAACATACTTCTGACAGAAGTATTACATTATTTATAGAAAGGTTTCCAAAATAATGTTAGAGCATAGACATACATGTAAAACAGCAAAATCAGCCGTGTTTAAGCAGTTTTACTTTTTATGGTCATTGGTCAACTTAACTAGTCCAGATTCCAGCAGAAAAATGTCTTCTTGTTCATCTTCCTCCACCAGCAGAAAAATTCTTGGTGCACCAATGTTCAGAAATGCTTTTAAGTCATTAGTGTTTTCTGTTTACTGATAGCTTATGCTGAGTTAGGCTTCAGCCATGACAGGGTTGTATTTATTTGCTGAAGACCTATCATCTATTCCGTTTTGATTCCAAAGGAGCTTATAGTCTTCAGGAGTTTCTCGTAACTTTGAGAGCTTCAATGACCTCATGATCCAAAAGCTAGTATGTGTCAGAGGTAGAACTGGAATCCATGTCCAGACTTTCAGTCTGACTTTCTACTCACCATCTTTGATACTTTTCTTAAAGTTTATTATTAAACACATTAAATACATTTTAAAATGAGAATCAGGAAATTTTTCTGAGTATCATCTGAGATGAATTCTAACAATTAATTTTTATGGGTGTGGTATACTAAATTGATAGCTAAACATTTTATTATCTAAGAAAATGGTTACTGAAGCAGTATTGATAGTCCATATTGATAGTCCAAACGGTAATTATATAGATTTGGATGGGGTTTTATAGAGTATTCAACCTGTGCCCCCACAAAATATAGGAATCCTTTTTTATAGCCCTCTTGTCTCATTTAGCCTCTAATATCTGCAGTGTCAAGAGTTTACTGTCTCATGAGGCAACCATTCCACTGTTGTACAGCCCTAGTAGTGCAGAAGGTGCTTCTTTTGGACTTGATATTTGACTGTCTGCATTATTCAGTAACTTTTAAATGTTTATCTAGATTTTAATTCCAAGTAAGCTATAAAATCCTTTAGGAGAGGATTGTGTCTTTAATTTTCTAAGCACATCATAGGAGCTCAATAAATACTTGATTAATTGATCTTTCTCCCTATAATCCATAGAGCTGCTTGGCTAATTTATTTACATTATGAGGGCTTTTCCTGGAAACAAGATCCCCTTAGCTGACAGACCTCATAATTAGTCCCTCCCCTTCTTTCTACCCTCTGACATCTACCCCACTGTTAGAATCCTTGCAGTTGAATGTTGAGAGTTTTGGTTTGGTTAGAATTTTATTTTGGTAATTTATCTTAAGAAATTAGATTAAAATTCAGTGATTAAGAACTACATTTTATTTCTTTATTAGAAAACTCTGTAAAAGTAACAACAACAGGAAGCCTTATATTGTATAACTTCAGTGAAGAGATGAGTGGAGTTTATACTTGTTCCCTTTCATATAAACATACAGCAGAAGAGGCGCAAAAAATTATCCAAGTAAAATATGTTGTATACGGTAAGAAGAACATTTCTTTTCTGCCTTCAGTTTTTTCCTTTGAAATGCTTAATTTCTTTAAATTTTTATAAAGGAATCTAATGCTATTGCACACATAATCACAATATCCTTCTGTCTTGGTTTGGCTAATAGCAATACTAAAATTAAATAAATGGTAACCATAATACTGAATAATAAGAAATTACATCAAATAAATAACATTTGCTCAGCAATTGTATTATTTTATAGGGTGAATATAGATAAAATGCTTAGTGAGATATGTAGCTTCACTGTGTAGTAATCTTTGTACATTGAGGTCTCCTCTGGGCTTCACTGGACAGTTAATGTAAGAATGATGGATATGAAGATCTCACTTTCAAGATCCATTCTTCTTAAAATACAATCAAGAGTTTGATTTCCAATGCCAAGAATCTATTTCCACAAAACATTGCTTAGTGAAATTCAGTTCAGCAATATACTTTTTAGAAAAGTAGTTTTATGACATGCACTCTTCAGATACTGGTTCATTATGAGAGTGTTTTTTTTTTCTTCATAGATGCTTGTTCTACAATTTGAGTATATTACTGCTTGGTGAATAAAGATGCCTTTTAAATTTTTAAAAATGTTTTATTTTTTAAATATTATTTTCTTTTTCCCAATTGATTGCACATAATTTTTTTAACATTCACTTTTAAAAAATTGTGAGTTCAAAATTCTCGTCCTCCTTCCCTCCCTCTGTCCCTGAGAGGGTAAGCAATTTGATATAGGCTATACATGTACAGTGCTGCAAAACATATTTCCATATTAAAGCCTCATGACTCTATATCATGTATATTTTATTTGAGAGAAAGAAAAGTAGGTCTTGAATATGGCAACCATGAAATAACATCACAAAAATAAATTGGATTATATTTTGACATATCATTGCTGATATGGATAAGCTTACATTGCCATATATACAGGATCTTTATGAGAGTGTTAGTAGGGCATAGGCAGGATTTAACAGTGATATTGTTCAGTATACTTGTCTTTTAAAAATAAAACTTTATTGATATATTTGTATTTTTACATGAGCAAAACTTCCTCCTGATTTCCTCCCCCTCCTCTCTCTCAGAGAACCATCTCATAGAACAAATATTTTTAAAGAAAATGAAGAGGAAATTTTTTTTAGCAAAACTAATCAATAAATCAAAAAATTCTGAATATATATGCATTTTACTACATTCATGGACCTCCCACCTCTGCAGAGACAGTGGGGATTGTCTTCTTATAGTTTTTCCTTGGAAGCATGTTCATTTTTTTGTAATTTTACAATATTACTTTTAAGAAAAAGCATTTTTTTAAAAACTAGAAAATAAAAAGGAAGAGGAAAAATTTATTATAACCAATCAATACATTAAAAATTCTGAAAATATATAATTCATTGTTTTTCATTTTTCATTCTTTCCATTAACAACGTTGTAGTTATTGTGTATGTTATTTTCTTGGCTCTGCTTTCTTCACTTTGCTTTAGGTTATATGAATATTTCCATTCTCTCTTTTCATCACATTTGTCATTTCTTATAGCACCACAATAATATTCCATTACATCTATGTACCATGATTTGTTTAGCCATTCTCCAATTGATGGGTATCTACTTTGTTTCCGATTCTTTCATATCACAAAAATGTTGCTATAAATATTTTGGCATATATGGGGACTTTATTTTGCTTAATGACTTCCTTGAGGCATAAGCATAGTAGCAGTATTTGTTAGTTACTTTATTTGCTTAATTCCAAATTGCTTTCCAAAATGGTTGTGCTGATCCACAGCTCCATCAATAATACATTAATTACATCATTACCATTTTGAAATTGAATGATTTAGAGACTAGAAAACCCCATTGCACTTGTTTGTTGATTATGAAAAAACATTTAATTTAGTAGAGCAAAACACCAACTTACAGACTTTATTCTAGCAAAGGGTCTTCATTCAAGATTACTTGAAAGCTATAACAAGAATAACCTTGTTCGGTGACCCTCTGAAAATAAACATCATGTGGACCATAAAATAGATATATGCTTATCACATATGTTCCTACTGCTTTGGAGAAGATCCAGCATTGCCTATGGATGGTGAGGTCCTCCCTATTCTCCTGTTTTCTGATGACGTTGTGTTGAGTGCATTAAGCCTTGGAACACTGCTGAGCCTCCTGGAAGGGATGTATTAATACTTAAAGAATTTGACCTGATTTTTATATATATATATATGTATAGGAATGGCCAGATGGATGAAGAATGTTTGTTTCTCAGATTTCAACATGCATTTGAACCCATAGAGCTTTTCCATCAGTGTGTGTATATACACACAATATACATTTCTACTTATGTATGTATGTATGTATGTATGTATTTGTACATATGGGACATAGAATACAAGTGGACAAGGAATTTATCTCAGAATTAAACAGGAGAATGAGAATATATTGTATTGTCTTCAGGAGATTTCAGAGCTCCTTGAATGATCCCAAACTTTTCCTGGAAACAGAAGTTCATCTTTTTAATATTAATATTCTTCCAATTTTGTTGTCTGAGTATGAGACAGGGGACACGGTTGTTTCTGAAGAACTGATCATGACTATCATATGGAGGGCAATGGGTAGAAATATGGTGGGTATGAGCAAGGTGCAACATATAACTGATGAAAAACTTTGAATAAAAACAGGAGAAAAAGGTGATGTCAGGGAAAATGTGTGATAGGAAGGGAAAATGGCCTTTTCCCATGGGGAGGACAAGGAATGACAGGTGAACAGTCTAAGTGACTCTCTTCAATGTCCTTGTGATATCATAAGAAAGCAAGGAAGGTCTCTAGTAGATTGGGTAGCAAACTTTTGAGAGGACAAGGATAAAAATCATATAGTATACCAGATGGGCAAATAGGAATTGGTTGTGCTTTCTGTCTTGGAATGAGTACTTAAATTGATGAGACCACAGATCCATTTGAGTACAGTCTAACCCTGGGTTTTACTCCTAGGCTTGAGTACAACACCTTTTAAAAATTCTTTCTGAACCTTTCTTGGAATTGGGATTTACAGTGAGTTGTCTTTTGCCACCCCCCAAAAAATATTGTTCACTCATAAATACTTGACTTTTTTCCCCCCAAATTTAATAATAGGCTATATTGAGTTGCCTTCGTAACATTTCCAAACAAGTTTCTGAATGCCAAGAGTTACTGCATCATTTTCTTCCATTGGTACAGTCAGAAAACTTGGAAGCTACTGCTTGAATAATTGCCCCACATTGTCATGGTGACAAGCTTTATTCTTCTGTGATGCTGCAACGAGCTTTAAATTTTTGATCTTAAGATTTTTTCCATGCCTTTGACTTCTTCCTCTAATTTTGATACTTTATTAATTGATCCCTCAGTGTCCTCACAGTATGGTGTTATGTAAACAATGATAGATTTTGAACCTAGAGGATCTGGATTCAAATCCTGGCTCTACCACATGTCAGTTAACAAATATTTATTATGCACCTGTTATATTCCAGGCACTGTACTAAGTGCTGGGGATACAAGGAAAGGCCATGAAAAATCCTTGCTCTCAAGAAGCTCATAATCAAATGTGGGAGAAACTGTGCTAACACCTTTTTACAAACCAGATGTATAAAGGATAAATTGATGATAATTAAAGGAGGAATGGATAGTAAAAGCTTCTTGTATGAGATGAGATTTTATCTGGGACTTGAAGGTAACCAGGGAGGTGAGTAGATAGAGATGAGAAGGGAAATAATTCCAGGATGGGATATATATATATGTGTGTGTGTATGTGTGTGTGTATGTATATATATATACACACATACATACATATATATATACATATACATATATATACACTATCTTTGTGAATTAGTGTAAATCATTTAATCTGTTTTAGAAGAAGTTGAATTAGGTAGTCTTTAGTGTTCTTTCCAGATTCAAGTCTGTGTTCCTTTGAATTATTCATGGTCTGTGCCATTCTTTCTTTAAATTTTTAATTGTAATTTTATTTTTTCTCAATTATATGTAAGCAAAAAAATTTTAACATGCTTAAAAAAAAATTCTAGTTCTACATTTTTTCCCTCCTTCCCTTCTCCTCTCCTTGACAAGGCAGGCAATTTGATATAGATTATAACATATGCAGTCTTGCAAAACATTTTCATATTAGCCATGTTGCAAAAGAAAACTCAGACCAAAAGAGCCAAGAGTAATAAAGAAAGTAAAAAGTAGTGTGCTTCAGTCTGCATTCAGAATTCATCAAATTCTTTCTGTGGAGATGGATAACATTTTTCATAATAAATCATCAGAGTTGTCTTAGATCATTTTATTGCTGAGAATAGCTAGGTCATTCACATTTCATCATATGATATTGCTGTTATTGTATACAATGGTCTGGTTCTAATCATTTCACTTTGCATCAGTTCATGTAAGCCTTCCAGGTTTTTCTAAAAGTGTCCTACTCACCATATCTTATGGCACAATAGTATTCCATCCCAAACATATGCCATGATTTGTTCTGCCATTTCCCAGTTGATGAGCATCCCCTCATTTTCCAATTCTTTGCCACCACAAAAAGAGCTGTTATAAATATTTTTGTACATGTAAGTCCTTTTCCTTTTTCTTTGATCTCTTTGGAGTTAAAGATCTACTAGTGCTGTTGCTGAGTCAAAGGGGACTGTGCCATTCTTAAGTTTTATACTGAGTACATATGGAAACAAATATATGTACATATATATATATGTGTGTGTATATATATATATATATATATATATATATATATATATATATATATATAATATGATGCACATATGCTTATATTTACATGTAAACTGCTCTAAGATTTTGGGGGCATCCTGTATATAGGATTTGTTTATATGTAAACAAGGAGCTTTTGTTTTCAAATGATTCTTAAATAATTTAAATATTTTAATTAGAATTCATAATTTACTGAAAATGTTAATTTTGTTTTTGTCTATACAATGAATCTTGCTTATGTTTTATTTGTCATGCAGCTTTTATAAATCCTCATTTTTACTACCAGTTCTCAGCTCGATACCATTTTGTATCCTGCAATAGTACCTATAATATCTCATTTGAGAAGAAGTTGCTTCATATTTTGAGAACACTACTTGCTGATCTTTCCTGTGACGTATCATCAGTGAAGACTGAATGTCATCTTATTAAGATGCAGGAATCTGGTTTACAAAATGAATTGTTCTTCACCTTTTCAGGTAGGTATTGTTCATCTTTTTAAGGATTCTTAACATGCTTAGGAAACAATTGGTTATTTCAAGGTGCACAATTTAGGGGTTGCAAAATTCAACGTTTTAATGCATTGCATTTACATTTTATGATTTAGTACTAGCAATATGGAAACAATCTCACAGGAATGACATTCCTACCCAGGTAACCCAATATCCACAGGAACTCTCTTCCTCCATATTGTCAAATCTCGGGGATTTCCCTCCCATTTTTTTTTCTCTTCCACTTCTAGACTGATATAATCTTAGTGTAGTTTCCTCTGGGCCTCAAGCCCCACTTGGCTCATCAAACAACATTTATTAAGTGCTTACTTTATGTTAGGCACTATGCTAATGAAAGACAATTTAAATTGCAACTTGGAGTTGGAAAGGAGGTTTGAAATACTTCATCTTGTAATGGAAAAAGAAATAGATGGAGGGAAAGGAAGAAAAATCTCAACCTTTTTTCCTTTCCTCAAACCTCTACAACTCCACTGAGGGTCTTATCTCCAGCATAAAATATATCTCCTGTTAGCTGCCATTCTTCAACCCTCAAAGCCCATTTACACAGGATCAAAAATTAGAGCAGGAAGAGACCTTTGAGTCACCAACAAATTATGACAAATCAACCAGCATTTTATTAAGTGCGAATCTGTGCCAGGAACTGTGCTAAGTGCTGGGGATACAAAAAAAAAAAAGGTAAAAACATCCCCTTCCCTTAAATTCAACCCCCTAATTAGTGGGGGGAAACAGCATGCAAACAACTATGCATATATAAGACATATACAGGGTAAATTGAAGGTAATCTTAGAGGGAAGGCACTAACATTGAGTGGACCTAGGGAAGACTTCTTGAAAGAAGGACGACAGTCATTGAAAAGGCATGAAGTCGGCAGATGGAGTGTTGTGTGCAAAGATGTCAAGGAGGCCACTGTCATCAGATTGTAGAATTTGTAGAGTGGAGTAAGGGAGAGGATAATAAAGTATAAGAAGACTGAATAGGTAGTGAGAGACTTTGAAATCCAGAGAGGATTTTATATTTGATCCTGGAGGTGATGGGAACCAGTGGTGTTGATTCAGTAGACAGTGACTTGGCTAGACCTGTATTTTATGAAGATCACCTTGGCAGTTGAGTGGAAATGAACTGGTATAGGGAGATACTTGATTTGGGGAGACCAACCAGAAGGCTAATATGATAATCCAGCATGACCTGTCCCAGAGTGGCGACTGTTTCAGAGGAGAAAAGGGCATATATATGGAAGATGTAGCAAATGTACAAACCTCTTTATTTGACAGATGAGGGAAGCAAGGCCCAGATGGGTTAAGATAATTTCTTAGGGTCAGATAGGTAGTAAAGGAGAGAGACAGGATTATGTAATCATCATCAAATCTCAGAATTTTAGAACTTGAAGAAACCTAAGTAGTCTTTTAGTCCAGTCTGCTTCAAAAAGAATACCCACTGATTGTCAGACAAGTCTTTGTTTAGAGATTTTCAGTGAGGGGGAAACCATCACCTCCAGAGGCAACATATTACACTTTTTGAAAGCTGTAATTGCAAAGGCAGTTTTCCTTATGGCATGTCTAAATATGTGCTCTTGCCACTTTTGCTTACCCTTTCTCATTTTAGCCTTCTAAGTACAAGCAGAATAAGTCATCTGGTCCATCTTCTACAGGATAGCAGCCCTTCAAAAACTTAAAGATAACCAGTATGACTTTTCCTCTTAAAAATATCCACTTCCTCCATGAATTCTTCATCCTTCAGGTTGTCCTTCTCTGCATTCTCTCCAGCTTATCAATATCCTTCCTAAAATGTGGCCCCAGAGCTATACACGGTGCTTTATATGTCCTCCCCAAAGGGCACAATACAATGTGATGATTTCCCCTTTATTCCTGAAAGCCTTTCTAAGAATGAACAATTTTGCTTTCTTTCTTTTGTCAGTTAACAACCAAATCCATCTTTTCACTTGTGAAATTCATCTGGTCCTGGCAGTTTTTTTCTTAGGGAGGCCCTTTGATAGCCTGTTCAATTTCTTTTTATAAGATGGGGTTATTTAAGTATTCTTTTTCCTCTTCTTTTAATCTGAAAAATTTATTTTTAAAAATATTCATCCATTTCACTTATATGGTCAGATATGTTGGCATATAATTGGGCAAAATAGGTATTAATATTTGCTTTAATTGCTTCTTCATAAGTGGTTAATTCTCCCTTTTCATTTTTGCTACTGGTAATTTGATTTTCTTCCTTTTTAATCAAATTAACCAATGGTTTATATATTTTATTGTTTCCCTCCCCATAAAATTGTCTCCTAGTTTTGTTTATTAGTTCAATGGTTTTATTTCAATTTCATTCATCTCTCTTTGATTTTTTAAGAGTTCCAATTTGGTGCTTAATTGGGGATTTTTAATTAGTTATTTTTCCAGTTTTTTAAATTACGTATCCAATTTATTGATCTGCTCTTTATTTTATTGAAGTAAGCATTTAGAGATATTGATTTTCCTTAAAGTATTGCTTTGCAGAATGCCAAAAATTTATGTTGTCTCATTATTGTCATTTTCTTTAATGAAATTATTGGTTGTTTTTATGATTTGTTCTTTGACCCACTCATTCTTTAGGATTATATTATTTAGTTTCCAATTAATTTTAATCTATTTTTCTATGTCCCTTTATTGAATATAATTCTTATTGCATTATGATCTGAAAAAGATGCATTTAATATTTCTACTTTTCCACACTTGGTTGTGAGGTTTTTGATGCCCTAAATACTTGATCAATTTTTGTGTAGGTGCCATGTCCCACACTGAGAAAAAGGTTTATTGCTTTCTGTTCCCATTTGGTTTTCTCCAGAGGTCTATCATATCTAATTTTTGTAAAATTCTGTCCCTCTCTTTAACTTCTTTCTTGTTTATCTTTTGGTTAGATTTATCTAGTTCTGAGAAGGGAAAGTTCAGGTTCCCCATTTGTATAGTTTTGCTAACTGTTTCCTTCTGTAACTCATTTAACTTTTCCTTTAAGAATTTGGATGCTATTCCATTTGGTGCATATATGTTTAGTATTGATATCACTTCATTGTCTATGGTACCCTTTTAGATGTAGTTTCCTTGCTTATCTCTTTTAATTGATATTTTGCATTTGCTTTGTCTGAGATCATGATTGCTACCCTTGCTTTTTTTCACTTCAGCTAAAGCTTAGTAGTTTCTCTTCCAGCCCCTTACCTTTACTCTGTGTGTCTCCCTGCTTCAAGTGTGTTTCTTGTCAGCAACATATTATAGGATTCTAGTTTTTAATCCACTTTGCTATCTGTTTCTGTTTTCCTGGTGAATTCATCCAATTCATATTCATAGTTGTGATTATTAACTTTGTGTTTCCCTCCATTATATTTTCCCCATTTACCCTTCTCTCTCTCTTACTTTGTCCCTCCCTAAAAGTGTTTTGCTTCTGACCACTGCCTTCCCTAATATTCCCTTTCTTCTGTCAGCATCCCTTTCTTTTCTTACTTGCCCCGCCTCCAACTTCTCTGTAGGATAAGATACATCTTATCCTAAGATCCCATCTAAGTTGGTGTGTTATTCCATCTTTCAACCAATTCTGATGAAAGTAAGGTTCAAGCATTGCCTGTCACCCCACCTCCATCTTCTCTTCCTGTGTAAAAGCTCTTCCACACCTCTTTTATGTGAGTAATTTACTCCATTCTACTTCTCCCTTCCTCTTTCTTCAAGTGCATCCTTCTTTTTTACCCCTTATTTTTTTTAGATATGAATCAACTGACACCCATGCTTTCCATGTATACTACTTTTAATTATCCTAATAATGATTAAGTTCTTAGAAGTTACAAGTGTCATCTTCCAATGCAGGAATGTAAACAGCTTAACCTTGTTGAATCCTTTATGATTTTGCTTTTTCTGTTTGCCTTTTTATGCTGCTTTTGAGTCTTGTATTTAAAAATCAGATTTTCTGTTCAGCTCTGTTCTTTTCATCAGGAAGGCTTGAAAGCCCTTTATTTTATTAAATACCCATTTTTTCCACTACAGGATTATACTCAGTTTCTGCTGGGTAAATGATTCTTGGTTGTAATCCTAGTTTCTTTGCCTTCCTGAGTATCATATTCTAAGCCCTTCAATCCTTTAATGTAGAAACTGCTAAATCCTGTTACCCTGACTGTGGCTCTGTAATATTTGAATTATTTCTTTCTGATTGCTTATAGTATTGACTCCTTGACATGGGAGCTCTGGAATTTCACTATAATATTCCTGTGAGTTTTAGTTTTTGATCTCTTTCAGGTGGTGATTAATGCATTCTTTTAATTTCTATTGTATCTGCTGGTTCTGGGCTATCGGCAGTTTTCCTTGATAATTTGTTGAAACATGATGTCCATGCTCTTTTTTTGATCATGGTGTTCAAGTAGTCCAATAATTCTTCAATTATCTGTCCTTGATCTATTTTCCAGAAAATTTGTTTTTCCAATGTTTTCCCAGTGAGATATTTCACATTTTCTTCTTTTTTCCCCATTCTTTTGGTCTTGTTTTATTGTTTTTTTATGTCTCATGGAAACATTAACTTCCACTTGCCCTATTATAATTTTCAAGCAGTGATTTTCTTCAGTGAGCTTTTATACCTCTTTTTCCATTTGGCCAACTCTACTTTTTAAGGAGTTGTTTTCTTCAGTGAATTTTTGTACATCTTCTTCCATTTTTGTGCTTTTTTTAAACCAATCTGTTTACTCTTTTTTCATAATTCTTTTGCATCACTCTCATTTCTTTTCCCAATTTTTTTGTCTACCTCTCTTATTTGATTATTAAAATCCTTCTTGAGCTCTTCCAGTAAATCTTTTTTTGGGGGTTGGAGACCAATTTACATCATTTTTTCAGGCTTTGCATGTGACTGATTTGACATTAGTATCCTTTTCTAAATTTGTGTTTTGATGCACCCTGCCACCATAGGAACTTTCTGTGATCAGGCACTTTTTTTGGTTGTTATTGCTTGCTCGTTTTCCC